GCTCTTTCCTCTCCTCATCTGGTTTTCCAGCTCCTGCCTCTTTTGATCCCTAACGAACGTGTAAATGAAGAAGAACAATTAGCAAAGGGCGTGTTTACAGACTGCTGGTGCCTCCCGTCGCTGGAAGAGGTCGCAGCACGCGTGGTAGCGTGTTTGCAGATGCTTCAAACCGCACGTGTTCGCTGTGTTGCGTTCAAGCTCCACGGGAAAGCAAAAAATATTTTAAAAAATCTTCATAATTTTGGCCAAAGTAATTTTTTTTCACCCTTCAGCAGCACTTCTGAAGTGGTTGCATCACATGAACGAACCCCAACTGGATTTCTTGTACTTTCATTAATTTCACCAAAGGAAAATATATTTTCTTAGCCCAAAACGTGGGGATTAAGGATATATTTTTCTTATATATAAAAAAATTATGTTTTTCTTAGATGAAGCACGGATACAAAAAGCTGCAGGGGGCAGGGAGGCTGCTCAAGGCATGGGAACAGCGAGTTTCTTTGGTAGCTGCAGGTTATCTGGAACATGATGCTTCTTCCAGGGGCTGACCCCGTGCCTGATGCTCAGCTGGGTGATGTGACTGGAGATACAGAAGAACCAGAGAATGGTTTGGGTTGGGAGGGCCCTTTAGAGGCCACCCAGTCCAACCCTCCTGCGATGGGCAGGGACATCTTCAACTGGATCAGGCTGCTCAGAACCCCGTCCAAGCTTGATGTGAATGTTTCCAGGGATGGGGCATCTCCTACCTCTCTGGGCAACCTGGGCCAGGGTTTCACCACCCTCACGGGGAAGAATTTCTTCTACCTCATCTAAATCTCCCCTCTCTCAGCTTGAAGCCATCACCCCTTGTCCCATCACTCCATGCCCTTGTCCCAGCCCCTCTCCAGCTCTCTCACAGCCCCTCCAGGCACTGGCAGCTGCTCCACGGGCTCCCCTTCTCCTCCCCAGGCTGAGCAGCCCCAGCTCTCCCAGCCTCTCCTCCCAGCAGAGGGGTTCCAGCCCTCGCATCATTGCTGGGGCCTCCTCTGGCCCCGCTCCCACAGCTCCAGCTCTGTCCTGTGCTGAGAGCTCCAGAGCTGGATGAGAAGCTGGATGAGTGGAGCTGGCTGCCGTAGGAGAAGGGGGAGGTGGGTGCTGGTAGCTGATCTCAGCAGCCTTCGGTAGGTGCAGGGTTTTGCTCAGACCTGGGAGATGGGCTCCTGCTCGTTTCCCTTGGGGTGCTCCAACATCAAGCATCGGATCCGGGGAACATCATGGGACACAAGGTGGGCCTCGTCTCCTGTGAGGCTGGTGGGTGCTGGGAGGAGCCCAGGGACAGTCCATGGGCACCCATGAGATGGATGAGCGGACAGTGGCCACCAGTACAGTCTCTGTATCTCCAACGTGGTGAAACTGTGGCTGTATCTCATGGGAAGTTCCATCTGAACATGAGGAAGAATTTCTTCCCTCTGAGGGTGATGGAGCCCTGGCCCAGGCTGCCCAGAGGGGCTGTGGAGTCTCCTTCTCTGGAGATATTCAAGACCCACTTGGACAAGGTCCTGTGCAGCCTGCTGTGGGTGACCCTGCTTCGGCAGGAGGGTTGGACTAGATGACCCACAGAGGTCCCTTCCAACCCCCAACATTCTGTGATTCTGTGAATATCTCACGCTGGAAGGGACCCGTAAGGATTATCAAGTCCCAACTCCCTGCTCCTCGCAGGACTACCTAAAAGTGCCTTGAAGACCAGGACGGGTACAACGGGAGGTCTTCGGGCGCTGGTGGTAGACGGACACGTCACTGCGGTGTGGGCGGGGATCGGTGGTCTTCAAGAGATGCCTTTTTTTGTTCGTTTGTTCTCAAATGACGTTTGAGCTGTTAAATAATCGGCGCCGTGTGATGTTCCTTGCAGCCCCGTAGATATCGGGGCTGTCCTTGTGAGTAGCTGGACCTCTGACCTTGCTTCTGGCTTGCTTTGCAGGAGGTCTACCGGATCCCGAAGAAGAGCCAAGCGGAGAAGGAGAACACGGGTACGTACTCGACGTTTTCCTGTCTATCACTGTGCTCCTCTTGATGTTCTCAGCGCGTGATGTCAGGATTTCTTCTGCCTTCGTAGCTCAGAGTTCCTAAGGCTGGAAACCAGCTCCTGCCAACTGGGAGGATGCGTAAGCAGTGGGTGAAGGGAAATGTTGTCTCACATCTCCGGTGGGAGCGTGGGAGGGGGTTTTTTACCCCCTTGGTCCAGCTGTACCTGCAAGAGCTTCAGCTGAGCTGCTGGGTCTGGTGTCCCAGTCGTGAATCCAGCGTATGACAATATAGCTGGTGGAGGAGCAGCTCCCAGTAAGGGAGGTGGGATTTACTGGTATGGAGAGAAGAGCTGGCTTTAAATGGGTGCCCTGGGTGCGATGCGCAGTACGGCACCATCCCTCCTTTGGGTCCCTCACTCCAAGAAGGACCTGGAGGGGCTGGAGCGTGTCCAGAGCAGGGCAGCGAGGCTGGGGAGGGGGCTGGAGAACAAGTCTGATGGGGAGCGGCTG